CCCTGCGAGCTGCTGCGCGCGGAGGGCGCGGCGGGAGCGGTTGCCTGGAAACCGGTAACGCCGCGAAGGAGGCGGCCCCAGGTACGGGGTGGTGGGGAGGGTCAGGGCCCGCTTCGGACCCACACGGGCCCACGTCGCCCCTCGGGGGGTCCGCAGGCCCCCGTATGCCTCTGCGTCCCATGGACCTGCCCCCGGTAGCTACCCCGCTCCTCAGGCACCTGCGGCTGCCCGCTGCAGGGGCATCTCCTCCCTGCGCCCCCCCGGATCCCCTCTGTGGTACCCTCCCCATGGCCCCTTAGAGGCTCTCTCCACTGCTCTCCCTGAAGAGCTCCAGGTGTCCCCTGCCTGCCCCTTTGCTATCCCCCGCAAAGCAGCCCATCGCGGGGCGCTTCTGCATCGCCGTGGTCTTTTCGTGGTGTCCGGGTGGAAGGCGGCCTTGGAAGATCGCCAGGCCGAGGCAGTGCTGGGCCTGCACCTCTGTGGAAGGCCGGTGCCATCACCCTTGTGCACTGAAGTCTGTGTTGGACCAGGCTTCCTACACAGAGGCTTTTGGAAAAGAAAAGCCTTTATTCTCATGTAGATGCTTAGCTTAGGAAAAGTGAAACAGGAATGAATGTTCTGCAGCTGAGATGGATCATCCCGTACTTAATTTGAAATGTGGGATTTGTTGGTTTTGCTTTATCATGTGTGAGGCAGTTAATTTTATTACCTGTTGCATTTGTGGCACTGTTCTCATGTTCATTTTTATGATTTTCCTTTATACTGTAAGTTAATAAGTAACTGTGGTGATGTCACCTGTTCTCTGTTTCTACTCACTAAAAACCTGGTAACCTTTATTCACAAGGCAGACTTTAAGAGACTTGAAACTTTTGCTTGCATGAGGCAGAGCTAGGACATTTGGATCATACAGAGGACTACTTTAGTTGTAAGGTTGGAAATTAGAGTTAGGTTTTATTTCTCCTAATTTTATAGAAAAATATTTTGAATGTGTGCAACATAGCAATGGTGAGGTTCTAAGCAGGGCTCTGCTGTCCACTTCTTTTCTCTCTCAGATGGGGGAGGGTAAAAGAGACAAGGGGGCTATGATAAAGATGATGTGTCTAGATCCTGCTTTGTAGCTTTATCCTTGCTGTCTCAGTCTCTGACTAGTTAATATTTTACATACTTAACCTTAACTGCTGTGAGAATTGATATTTTCTGTTATTCTCCTTCCTCTCAAGTCTTCTAGCTATTGTAAGAGAGACAGCAATATTCTGTATTACAAAAAATTATTTCCTTGGAATTTTGGGTTGGTTGCCTAAAACTGACTTTTATTACTAATT